CGGCGGCGCCGGAGGGGAAGGGTGAGAGGGGGCAGACCCGGGTCTGCGGCCGCGTGAGCGCCTCAGTCGCGCCCGTAGTGACCAGGGCACTAACAAACACTTTCCGGAGCCCTGTAGTGTAAACCGGGAGCACTTCTCTCCTAACCAGCACCAGCACCCCGGACGGGGAAACTGAGTCCCGGAGCACACTGGGCATAGACTCGAGTTTCTCCCTGGGCTCTGCCACCTCGGGCCTCCAGCTCCCTTCCCTGAGATTTGAATCCAGTAGCACTCAGCGAACTCGGGGTGCACGCTGGAATTCAACTGCTGCAGTCTATTAGCGTTGCAGCATTGATACATTTTCCCTCTGTCCTTGCCTCCCGAAAACAAGGAGAATAAGGATAAAATGTTACTTCTTATAGTTGCTTGGGTATTCATTACATCAGGTTATGGGACAGTAAAAAACAAAACTTAAGTAGCCATTGTAGGGGACTAGCTAAATAAACAGGCACACCCTTCCCAAGTGCACTAGGAGGCTGTTAAAAACGAAGTGTGCTGCCAGGAAAGGATGGCCACAACGTTTACAGGATACTCAAATGAAGAAAGCTAGTTTCAAGAGCTGCATCTTGTATAATCACTTGGAAAAACAAAGTAAAAATTTCCAGTCCACACCTAGATATATGTACCCTGGAGAAGAAATTCTTGCAAATATTCCCAACAAAGTCCATAGAAGCACTGCTTGTAAGAATACAGAAGTAGAAATAGCTCAAATATCCACCCACAGGAGGCCGGAAATGTTTTTACATTCACACTAGGGAACATTATATAGCAGGGGAAATGAATGAGTTACAGTTACAGATGAATCTTAGAGACAGGAGGAATGAAAAGATAAATGTGGGAAGAGGAATATAACTACAGTATTGTTCAGGCCTCAAGTGGGCAGCAGCCCACCTCTTAGTAGCCAGAGACAAGAGAGCTTTTGCCTATCACAGTGATTCAACTTTTAAAACACAAAAGTCAAAAACAGTTCTAGAGCCAGGTGGGGTGGCAAGAGCTTGGGTTCCCAGTGACTCTGGAGTCTGAGGCAGGGGGATTATGAATTTGAGGCCAGCCTTGGTAACTTGGCAAAACCCTGTCTTTCAAATAGGAAGGGCTAGGGCTGGAGATGTGGCTCAA